TCTGCAGTCCCGTTTCCCCCACCAGCTCCTGTCGCTGTCGACTGCGGCCTCCTGACTGGAATACGCGCTCGCCTTGCCAATGGCTGCCTTGTCGTGCATCTTTCCGGGCGGTGCTCTGCTAAGGCGAGGCAGCCGGCGCCTAGATGCTTGCTTACTTGTGCAAGAGCTCGCGTGCCACGCACAAAGCCGTGAGCACCCCTATCAGCGTCTCAACAGCAGCCGCCGCCTGGCCTCGATGCATTGGAGCTGATCGTCCTTTCTGACTGGGGCATAGTTCCATCACTCGATATAAGAAGCCCTTTCCTCAAGTTGTACCTGTCCTGCATCAAGCACCCTGAATGTGTGCCGTCTATTCTACACAGCTATACTGAATCCCGAAAGATCGTGCATATATCCAGGGTTTGAGTGTAGTGGTACAGTTCGGAAGGAACTAGCTTTGCTGTACATGAATTTGGTCCCGTGAACGCGATAGAAAGGGCAACACTTGCTCAGCCGCGTTGCGGCGCGACATTTCCCAGGGTCCAGATTTCGTGTCGGGCTCTGACGATGCACTACGACGGATTAGTCCTTCCCGACCGATTGGCACGCAAGGCGTTGCTTCCTACACAACACTCCGAAACTCGCGATGTACGTTTCTGTAGCGCGAGGATTGGCTGTGACCAGCCAGATCGTGGCTGATGCTGCTCTGTTTTCAATGCAGTACCATGTTATGGCTGCGTAGGAGCAGCTGCGTGGGTAGTTTGGAACACAAGATACATGTGCAACGTAGTCCTGAAACTCTCTATAGCGGCCTTAAGCCCTAGTTTATATTACACTTTGTAGAGATTAAATTTTATTCTATCTAATTAATTACTAATAATACTACTAAATCTAATAATTTTAATAAGTTAACTAGCCTACTAACGCTAAATTTATAATATATAGCTTATTTATTTCTATAATAGTAGAGCTATAATTACTATTTTTAATAGCTATTTATAATACTTCTAAATTTATATAACTATTCTTTTAACTACTATAGTAGTATTAAACTATATAATAATTATATTTAGCTTTTTTATTTATATTAAATACTATATATAAGTACTAGTATATTCTTTATTTATAAGATACTTTTTCTATACTAAATATAAGCTATAAAGTTTTTCTTTATATTATTATAATTTTTTTTAATCTTTTTTACTATTTTTTATAAAGTTTTAATTTATAACTTTACTAACTTTCTTTTTTATTTATTAATCTTACTATTTTTTTAGTATACTTAAAAAATAATAGCTATAAAAGTAAAAGTATTAACTTTTATAATAAATACTTATATTTTTTTATTTATATTACTTATTAAAAATATTTTTTTAAAATTTTTAAGTTATATATTTATATAGTAAAAATAAAGTAAAGTATTTTTAAAGTAGTTAAAAACTTAATATAAAAAAGAATTTTAGTAAAAAAAGTAGCTAAAAAGCTATTTTATAATACTATTCTTAAAAGCTAAGTTAATAAAAGTAGATCTTAATAAAGAAAGCGCTTATAGTATCTAAAGTATAAAGTAAAAGTTTTTACTATTATATAAAAAAAAAAGTACACTATTAGTAGTCTATTTATAAGTTATTTTATAATAAAAGCTAAATTTTAATATAGTATAAGTATAAAAAGAATAGTAGTAAAAATATAAGAATATATACTAACTTATATATAAAAATATATAGTATTTTTACTTTATAATTTATTTTAATAGTTTTTTAACTAATAAGCTATAGTTATATTACTATTTTATTTAAATTTTAAAAAAAATAATAAAGTAATTATATTACTTATATAGTAATTTTTTTTAAAAATAAGCTACTTTACTAAAGTATTAGCTACTAAGCTAAAAAAGCTTAGTATACTTTTACGTATACTTTTAAAGTACGTATTATACTTTAATTATAACTTTTAAGATACCTAGTAGAGAGCTATTACCTATTTAAGACTTAATTTTTTTTAGACTTAAGATACCTTTATACACTATTTACAACAAAACACGAAACTCTCTATATATTCTCTATAGGAAAGCTATAACGCGGACTCTTGACCTGGGCTGCCGAGGTCCTTTTGATACAGTGCAGCGACACCCAACATCTGAAATACTTACCTGGCACTGACTCAGTGTTGCTTCTGTGAGAAGAGCGTGCCGCCGGAGGACCCCGGTTCCCCAGAAACCCCAAATATACACTAAAAGCCCCACGATGAGGGCGACAGCGCAAACGACAGAACTGCGTGTCGCCAACTTCTCTCGCCATCTGCTCGGGGCATTGGCTTCGGCACTTTCATGAGATTATCTATCAGAAGCGCACGCGTATAAGCCGTCGCACGGTCCGGATCGTGGGTGTCATCGCTGGATATGGTCTAGCCGAAATTTGAACCTCGGCTGTCCGAGGTAGCGCAAGATCGGCATCCTACTTAATCATCATTCCAAACACATTCACTCCCCATCATCTCTATCATCAACCTATCATCACAATGAAGCCAACACCGGACTGGGTCAAGCAACTGAAGCCTTCGGGCATTCAAGGCCACGAATTGCTCAAGGCTGAACGCGAAAGCTCCAACGTACCCGTCCAGGAGCTCGAAGTCCTCCTACATACTCAAGATGTCATCGACAGGAGAAACAAGATTCTTGACATTCTCAAGTCAGAGAAGGTCTTCGACAAGTCGCAGAACTACTTCATGGGAAGGATCGACAGATTCGAGAGGGCGCTTGCAAGGGAGAAGAGACTCAGAATCTTGAAGAAGCAACACAACTGGTCTTTTGACGAGTTCCGGACTGCTACAGAGCTCGTTGGTGAACCAGGACCATACGGACTCCACGACTCTATGTTCAAGGTACGCGCCATGTTCTGTCTCTGCGCGATTTCTACTCACTATGCAGGTTACACTTGAAGGTCAGGGTACGCCGGAGCAGCAGGAAAAGTGGCTCACCAAGGCCAACAACTACGAGATCATCGGATGTTATGCTCAGACTGAGCTTGGCCATGGCTCTAACGTTCGAGGACTTGAAACAACCGCCACCTGGAACAAGGAGGACAAGACCTTCACCATCCACTCCCCACATCTGACCGCCAGCAAATGGTGGATTGGGTCCCTAGGTCGCACAGCTAACCACGCGGTCGTCATGGCTCAGCTCATCATTGATGGCAAATCATACGGGCCGACTCCATTCTGCGTCCAGATCCGTGACCTGAAGACACACGATCCGCTCGACAACATTCACATCGGAGACATCGGGCCCAAGTTCGGTTACAACACCATGGACAACGGTTTCCTTCTCTTCAACCACGTCAAGATTCCCCACATCAGCATGCTGGCTCGTTACACGTTTGTTGACCCCAATACGAACAAGTTCGGACGCCGTGGCGCGCCCTCCCTCGTCTATGGAACCCTCACATGGGTTCGATCGACTATCGTCATGCAAGCCGGTAGTGTGCTCGCTCGGGGTGTTACCATCGCCACCCGTTACTGTGCTGTGCGACGGCAATTCCAGGACCGAGATGCTCCCGCTGGTGAGGCTGAGACTGCTGTTCTGAACTACACTATGGTGCAGATTCGGTTGCTTCCTCTTCTCGCCGCTACTTTCGCTTTACATTTCACCGGAAAGTCGATGATGGACATGTACCAGGAGAACCAGAAGAGGATCGCCCAGGGCAACGCTACCAACGCACCAAGCAAGCGCGGAGCAGGGCCAGAGGAGGTGCAATCCGGCAGCGATATGTTGGCAGACCTGCACGCTTCTTCATGCGCATTGAAGTCGCTTAGCAGTTCGATCGCAGCAGAGGGTCTCGAGGTCTGCCGACGAGCCTGTGGTGGCCATGGCTACTCAAGCTTCAGCGGTATCGGGCCGTGGTACTCTGACTACCTACCCACCACCACATGGGAGGGCGACAACTACATGTTGACCCAGCAAGTTGCGCGATACGTAAGTCTATTTATCTCATGTAACTGCAATCAGTCCTTACTGACCTGTGCTCTAGATGCTCAAGTCCGCCCGTTCCGTACTCAAGGGAGAAAAGCCGACGAACGACACAACTCAGATCCTTTCTCAATTCCATGCACGCCGCGATATCGGCTGCGCATTCGACGTCATTGGCGACGACGACGATCTCGTCAATGCCTTCGCTTGGCGCGTTTCGTTCCTCACCTTCGAAGCCAGCAAGCACCGCGACGAGCAGAAGAAGCCCTGGAACGATCTGCTCGTCGACTTCTACCGCCTCAGCAAGGCCCACGCACAGTACATGGTCGTAAAGAACAACCTGTCTGCGCTCAGGAACATCGCAAAGGCAGGCAACGTCGACAAGAACATCGTCGACGTGCTGATGAAGCTATTCCGCCTCTTCGCTCTGCACACACTCGAGCAAGAGGGCTCCGAGTTCTACGCTTCCGGCGCATGCAGCAAGCACCAGATTTCGCTCGCGAGGACCAACACTGTCATGAACCTGCTCAAGGAAATCCGCCCACACGCTGTCAGGCTTGTGGATGCCTGGGGCTTTGACGACTGGGTCTTGGACAGCAGTCTGGGCCGCGCAGACGGCAAGGTCTACGAGGATATGTTTTACAGGGCTAGCGAGCTCAACCCGCTTAACAATTACACCGTCGACCCGTACCCGGACAGCGATGTCTTGTTCAAGCGCATTGAGAAGAGCAAGTTGTAGGGGAAGGCATGTCTTTGTATATATGTAATTGTATTTGAATAGAATAGCGAAATTGATGTTGAAGAAGTCTGCCCATCGAAATCTTGTTTTGTTGTAACGCATGCGCGTATAACTAGTAGGCCGAGAGGAAGCCAACGGGTAATTTGATCCGGGAAGTGGAGACACGGCATACGCTTACCCTCCATGGTGTACATAGCAACCTCATCTACTATACACCACCCCGAAACATACCTTTTCCTCTCCGTTCCGAACGTATTGTCACGTTCTCCTACTCTACAATCCCACCCCAGATAATTTTAGATATCTACGCTCAGCATGGCCCCTTCAGACCCCACCACAGGCGCTGGCGTCCTCCTCGCCTTTCTCAAACCCACCTCAACCGGAGGTAACGAAGCACAACCGGACGACAAGCTCGCCCTTTTGTCCACCGCCATAGCAGGCAATGTTCTCGGCATCAAAACGGCAACGCAGTACAAAGCCGCAAATACCGCATACGATAAACAGCATCTCTTCGTCTGCGAAACAGAAGACCTGGCACGTGTGAATGTGAAGCAGATGTTGAAGTTTCTTAACGGCGAGAACGTGGGTGGAGAGTGGGATGTCAGGGCGTATTCTGAAGTCCAGATCTTTGGTCCGGAGAAGAGTGGTGGTATGTCTGCACGCCACATCTCATATCTCAAGTAGACATGGAGATAAGAGGTATCATTCGCTGACTTTCACCTTGTAGAACCCGCACCAACAATCATGATAGCACTCATGCAACCCTCTCCCACCGGCGCCTCAGACCTAGATGCTTGGTACCGCGAGGAACATAACCAGCAAACGTCTGAGCAACCAGGTTGGCTGCGCACATGTCGGTATTCACTTGTCAGGCAAGAATCGGGTTCTGAAGATGAGGAAGGGAAGAAGCAAGAGTTGTCTTTCCTGGCTATTCATGAGTTTGGGGAGGGTGAGCAGCTGGGGGACACGGTCAAGGCTTTTGAGCCGGTTAGTGAGTGGACGATGAGGGTTATGAAAGATGCGGTGGGGATTGATGCGGCGGTTTATCGGAGGGGATGAGTAAATGAGAGGAAAGTTGGGAGTGTGGTAGTGGGTAGATTGGAGTTCATCGTTTAAGAAGGTGTCTATCCCTCGACCTCTTATCCCATCATTTCCAATATGATATACCGGGTACGTATTCGCCAGGTGTCCATACAGTCGCATTTCCATCGAACCCATACGCCCATGTCGTCTGCTGGCTGACAGGTGCCCGGCATATCGTTGAATACTTGAAGCCGTGTGCGCATGAGCATCTAACGTCGATGGCGCCGAGCTCTGATGCGCATCGCGCCTGAGTCCTAGTCTTAGAGTAAACTTGATTTCAGTATAATCTGACATTCCGCAAGCAATGTTTCAACATCCCTGAGCTGGGCGGCAACATCTTCCCGGAGTGTTCGCGTCACATTTCCCCATCGCAAAGTCACCAGTTGAGCCTCATGTAGCCGCGGATAGTACCGCTTGATAAACCGGGAGTAGCCATCGGCGTTCCATGGGTCGACACAAAAATAGAGAGCTGGACGGAATAGACCCATCTTCTCGATCCTGATAGCCGTGATGGATCCGCAGACTGCCGCCCCTAGGTATTGAAGCGCTGTTGGGAGGTCATAATAACATTGGAGGTCAAAGGTACGGTGTTTGTAGATGAAGTCCCTTGCTTCGTTGCGTATCGTTTGGCAAGAGAATAGAAGGCTGAAGGCTCCTGGAAAGTGACGGCTGTGCACTGGAGTTTGCGAACGGCGCGAGCGCGTAGGGGATATGAATTTACTGTCGAAGGCGTAGTCGTAAACTATGAGTCGGAGTTCCGTGGGTAGGTCAAGAAAACGGAAGGGCTGCTGGATGGTCTGGACGCTAGGGTGCTGTCAGTGGAAGCATATAGCTCAGTGCGGCGAATAACTTACGTCTCTGTGCTTCTACCCCTGTCGGCGCCAGATCGATGCAGAAGGGTGCCCTGGGCGATGGCGCTTTGCGTCGTCGGGTCTGCCGGGCTGGAAGTCATCTTGAGTTGTATCTATTGAGGGGCTATGTCTAGGAGAAGTAGAGCCATTTTGCTGACGGCTAGGGTTGCGATGTCGTGATAGATTTGCGCTATTTTGCGCCTGGGCCCGTGACTCCCGACAGTGAACATTCACTGAGTGATGTATGCCCCTATACGAAATGCAGGACAACGTCCATGTTACCGGTCCAACGTTGCATAGCGGCAAGAAGCTCGGCTTCGGCACTGTCGACATTACGAATCTTCATCCAGTGACGCTCGACTTTTGGCAGTTCAATATCTCGAATAGAAGACGCGCGATTGTCCACATAGCTGGAATCGATGAGTCTGCGGACATTATGCACCGTTGCTATGCCCAATCTGATTGATCGGACAAGCTCAAAGTTCGCGGGGCCCATGACCAGGGACACATTGGCAATACAGTTGCGTGAACCACGGCTGATATTGAACGAAGTGAAGTCGAACCTGGCTAGGCCATATAACAGAGGTGATGCCTCGTGCCGGATCTGTCGGCACACCAAGAGTAGAGCGAACACGCCTAAATCATGTCGCCTGTATATCTGCTTGCGTTTCCGCGTAGCTTGCCGAATTTGACTTGCAAAGACACCGACAGTTTGTCCTGAAAATATATGCTTGTAGATTTTGTCGCGGAGCTCGGCGGGAAGACGAAGAAACCGGGATTCGCGTTGATTTGATTGCGTTCTGGGATATCATTAGCTCAAATCAGTGAAGACCTTGGGTTCGTCCTTACTTGCGCTCGCGCAGCCGCTCGGCAATGCTCTGCGACTGAGTGAGATTCATGATTAAGAAGGAGAGGACGCCCAAATTTCAGTCCTGGCACGGGTTGTGTGAGTAGGTGAAGCTGCGCAAGGGCGGTGAGCGCTGCTCTCATTATCCAGGGTCCATCACTCCGTTTGCTCGTGCAGAGGAGCTCACCTCTTACTGAATATAACCTCAAGATCATTACTCCCAAAATACAATCGCAGAGCTCTCACAGCCAAGTCAGGGCTCATACTGAGTAGCCCAAATATAGAAGTTTGTTGGATATGCACCCGCTGTAGGGAAGGCAACAGATGCCTATAATTAGTGGCAGAGGGGGCACCCTGTTGGAGTCCTATCGCTAAGCGTTTTGCAAGCCTCGGTTCTACTTTGATTGCTCGGATTGCTTGACAGATATCAGGTCCCAGTTCGTAGGCGGCCGCCATGCAGTTGTAGTAGAGTGTCAGGTCAAAGGTGACCAGCTCGTTGAAGGTAGGTGTCGCTTCTTCTCTGATATGTCTACAAGTCATCAGAAGAGAGATGATCTGCTGGTGTCTTGGAATTCCGTTACGTTGAAGGAGATATGTGCCTCCAAGTAAATCAGTGGATTTTGGTTGTACATGGATAGTCTCGTTGGTAAAGGCATGCTCGTAAATCATGACTCGAATCTCGGCTGGCAAACGAAGAAATGGCGGTGTGTAAGGGGCATTCTGATCACTTCCATCGTAAGCCTGATATCTATACAGCTTAGCACGGCTTACATACACTGTATCGATTTGACGATGGCTATGTGTAGCGAGGCTCAAGCGACCCATATTTTCAGCTACATCGTTGGTCATGATGTACTGATCACAAAGAGAGAGGATGTTTCTTTGATGATTTCCGATATACAGTCGCGGTGACAAAGATTATTGTATGTGTGTGCTGAAAGATCAGATGGTCGAGAGAGATGGGCGGCACAGCCGGCGATAAGCTAGCGCAGTCTGGTATCTCCGGCGGCGCGTCTCGAGATTTTTGGCGCGTCCAATTTTCGTCATCGCAGTCGCGCGTTAACTGCACAACCCTCGACTATTGCGCGCCTCTCGCTGTTAAACATGGGTAATGCAAAGCGCATGAGTGAGATGTTCGCATCGTCGGCCGAAAAAGACGCCAACACCACGACGGTGACTGCGAGCCCGCCGTACTCGAGCGAAGGACCTACCCTACCCATCATTGGGGCACCCGAGGACGCACCGACAGCTGGCAAGAAGCGAAAGGCACAAGACAAGATCAATGGAACAGCGTCGAAGAAGCCATCGCAACCACCATCTCCTCCCACAATCCATCCCTCTCTCTATGAGCCATGGACACGGCTGCCTACCGAACTACGCAAGCTCCTCGAAACCCAGAAGCGCATGCGAGCCACACAGAACATCGTACCCGTCGTCTTCTCGAAGAATCAGAACATCAAATCCGGTATCAACAGGTTGAAGACATATTTGGGCGCGTACAAAGACCCAGCGTCTACAATCGAGATGCCGGAAGCTCTGAAAGAGGATGATGTGATCATAGCTGTTTCTGCACAGGGTGAGGGCACAACAAAGCTAGTAAGCATCGTTGATATGGTCCGGCGCATTGTAGCACCGAGTGGTGGAGAGGACGATAAGCATGGGAAGGAGGAGGCATGGTGGATGTACACAATGCTCACGAGCGTCGAGGTTGACCGAGAGATCAAAACCAGGCCGACGGACAAGGACGATGCGGACGTCGAAAAGGCACCGAGCACACAGAAGAAAGATGAAATGTCAAATGAGAACAACACGATGAAGAGGAGGAAAATACCCGTACTAACAGTTTGGATGACCAAGAAGCGGATAGCCGCGTTCGGGAATGTCTTTGGAGAGCAGACATTCGCTGTGAAGCTGCTATCACAAGACTCTGACTGAATGCCACGCGACGAAGCAATCGAAATTTTAAGAAGCCGCTTGCGCTGCGGGTATGCCACCGTCAGAACTTTGGACGACCTCGACTCGCTCGATCCAATACAACCGATTGACGGCTCTGCCCGCCTTGCCCGCCTCGCCCTCTTTGAACCGACCGCATATAGCACATACCACAGCGGGCCCGCCAGCCGCCAACATGAAGGCAGCGTCCTCTGCATCTTCTATCTGAAATCGCCGACGGTTCTTCCCCGGCTCCATCTTATCGTACAAGTTGTCCATCGCAGCATGTAAACGAGGGAGTTCCAGGACTGCATCACTTCCAGAGTAGGTGTAGACCGTGTTACCCACCCATTTTCGTGGAACGGGCGTGCTCAGGGGATAATGGCCGCTCTTGAGGGCGACACTGTATGGGTTATCTGCCGAATTCGCTGCCATATCTGTAGAAGAAAGATACTTGTCGGGAAAGAATTGCGCTGCCGACAAAGCAACTTATAGGCAACGACATACGTGTTAGCACACGCCTCATGACCTAGTCACGGCAGCTCAGCAAACTTTAAAATGGCAACTAATTGGCATCGGTTTATCAATACGATGTGTCTATCAACTTCCACTTTACGTTGGCCAAATCTTGGACCCGATGGCGACCGAGGTGTACACAGTGTCTACCGACCTCAGACCCAAAGCATTCGTCCTGATGACACTGCTTCGCCCCATGCCACCCTCCCCATTCCCCTCTCCTACCTCCTCTCCCTGGCAGGGTGAGCCACTCGGCGTATGGGCACACGAGCTTCCATCGGCCAGTTTCCTCCGACTTCGGATGCTTCAACTCCGAGACTCCATGCGTGCTGCCGGCGACGTGTCAGCTGCGATAGCTACCATCACGTCGGGATCCTATAAACTGGTAAATGGTGGGCCGGCTAGTAACGGTGAGCCGCTTTCTCATTTCGGTGTCCTGGCTGGGATGGAGATGA